CCCGAAGACCCAGGTACTCCTCAACGTCCTATGATTGCGATCGTCATTCCAGGGGGACTCCGCCAGAAACCCCTGCATCACCGTGCTGAATGCCGGAACCGCTCCGACATTCTCGGCGTGCGGTGCCGCTTCCCTGACTGCACAAAAGGGTCTAAGAGATAATGCTGGCTGTGCTCCCTCGTCTCCCGGCGGCCAAACAGCGGGGCAAAGTAAGCGTGAACTCCTGAAAGTCCCTAGTATACCTGCTCGAAAGCCGCCGCCGCATCCACTTCCCTGCCCTGCCTCACTTACCCAAGCCTCCCAACTCCCCAGTCATACTATTACTATCTGCCAACCGTCTTTGTAATACAAGTGAAAGCACTAGCTGTCCCTTTATATCAACACACCCGGGTACGTGATTTTAACGGGGGCTCCGCCCTTTCCACCCCATCCACAGTTCAAAATGGTACTGCCTACATCAAGTCAGGCCCACCTTGGTGACTCCGACTCGACGATTTGATATCGCTTGCCAACGTTGGGCGGTTGTCGGTTCTGTTTGCTTCTGGTTGCTCTTGAGTCCGCAGCAATCTAGCGAATACATATCGAACCGGAACCGCATAAACCACCTGCTGAGCAGTTATCTTTGAACCTAATCGTAGAACATCAACATAACGACAAGACCTTTCTTGAGTTCCTAACTGCCCCTTTTGCTGGCAGAAAACTCGGGCCAGGAAACCTACTTTCTGGAATCGCCATGTGGAAAAAGTGTGGGAATGGCTCTGGCGTAAGCGCGAAAATTGCCATTTCTATATGTGCATCTGCAAATCATTCGAATCCCCTCACCAACTCCACACACCAATTACTGGCAAGCCTGTGAATCCCCCTGGGTTTTCGAGGGCCAGCCAGCGCAAAGGTTATCACTATGACTTCTCTTCGCTCTGCGGCAAGAAATTTGCGGCATACGGGACGGCGAGAGGTCGGTAGGTCCAGGCTGAACTTATCGGTATGGCGTTAAGGAATTTCTATTCATGAATGTCTTTTAAGCAGATGGCCGATGGCATGGTCAATGCCTGTGACATCTCCGAACCTGCCTTCTTTAATGCACTATGGAGTCGGGGCCGACACCGACAATGCAGCCAATATTGGGCACCAAACCGGCTAATAGGCCGTTGATGGGCGAGAACGGGTGGCGGACCAAATGTATTCACGGTAGGCGGAAAGAGATTCACAGTTGAATGTAATGGAGGTTGGGACCTGTCTCCTTATTGCCTCAGGTCTCATCAAACACCGGAATATGAACACGTTGGCAAAAGTGAGAAGGAAGCCGCGGCGGCTTCGGCGTACCACCGCCTAGTAACCGCTACTAACCGTATTACCTTGTATCCTGCTAACCCACAACAAAAGCGGACCAAGCTTCCATCAATTCACGCCGCCTGTCGAAAAGGTCGCTTCTGGCGTAGGCCGTCTCCGTAGAATTTCCCAAGTTGTGGGCCAGAGCCGCCTCACCCACTGCCCAGGGAACATTGGTCTGCTCTATGACCCAATCTCGAAAGCTGCTGCGGAAACCGTGGGGTACAGCCGGCATTTCCAACCGCCTTAGAACCAACAGGTGAGTCATGTTGGACAGCGGCCTGCCCTGTCGTCCCCCGGGGAAGATCAACCCTCCCCATGATCTTCCAGTTGCTGAACTTCCTAAGGATCTCCCGGGCCCGACGCGAAAGGGGAACCCGGTGCTCGCGCCGGGCCTTCATCCGCTGTGCAGGTATGGTCCAGGTTCCAGATTCATCGTCAATCTCTGACCACGTTGCCAGACGTACTTCGCCAGACCTGGTTGCCGTGAGCACCAGAAATTCGAAAGACAAGCGCGTTACGAGGTCGGCGTTGCACTCACGTACTCTAGCCACTGCTTCAGGGACTTTCGAATAATTCAGGGCCTCATAATGATTCTTGACCCGAGAGTGCCTGGGCAGGGCCCGGAGCACGGCCTTTCCTGCCGGGTTGTCCGACCTCCACCCTTGAGCGACGACCCAATCGAATACAGTCTCCATCCTTTGACGCACGCGGCTGGCCGTTTCCGGTTTATCAGTCCAGATGGGAGTGAGAACCCTCAACACATCCCCGCTGGCAACGTCGTCCACTTTTTTGGAGCCAATCACGGGTAAGCATAAGTGGCCAGGGTACTGGCCCATTGTGCGGCGTGCTTTTGTTGCTCCAGGTGGGACGTCTCAGGTCGATTACCTGCTGAGCAGCCTGGGCGAAGGTAGGCGTAGAGGGCCGACGTCGCTCTAATTCAGACTGACGCTTTTCGGCCAGCGGGTTTCGTCCCTGGCGAATGGCACGCTGGTTGTCGTCAGCCACTTGCCTGGCTTCGGCCAATGACACTGAAGGATACCTGCCCAGGCCCAGGTTGTGGCGCTTACCATCAATGGTGACTCTTTGCACCCAACGCTTGGACCCGGAGGGGTCCACTTTAAGATTCAATCCGTTGCCGTCGGCGTAGAGACCCGTTGCAGAGATGGTCCTGACCTTGGCTGCGGAGAGAGCCTGGTGTATGCTATCCGAAGGCATCGGCACCCCCATTCCGTATACCACCCCGTATACCAGTGTTTGAGCGATTGTACCGGATTTACCCAGCCTTAACAAGACCTTAACGAGGTCAATTGAGACTGATTTACATAGCAAGCGAGGAAAATGAGGCGATTATTGATACAAAAGAAAGGGAATTATGGCGGAGAGAGAGGGATTCGAACCCTCGAGAGGCGTTAGCCCCTACACGATTTCCAGTCGTGCCCGTTCGTCCACTCCGGCACCTCTCCGCGAAATGGAGCCTAGTGATTATACCTAGCAGTCCTTTCAGTGTCCACCGGAGCGAATGCGTTCTGAATCTCTTACCTGATACGACCATGTGCGGTCTCTCTTTGTCTGGCGGCCGTTCAGGAGAAAACAATGCCTGAGGAACTAACTCACGACGAACTGATCCGCGAGCAGTTTTCGATGCAAGCGGTCCGCTGGGATACTTACATAAGGGAAGGCAACAACGAGGATATACTTCCCTGGATCATGGGAAACCTGGAGCTTCGGCCCGATATGCGAGTCCTGGATTTGGCTGCGGGAACGGGAGTGGTTGCCAGGGCTATGGCTCCGCTTGTAAGTGAAGTAGTGGCGGCCGACGCCACTCCGGGTATGGTGGCACAGGGGCGGCAACTGGCTGAGTCCGAAGGATTGACCAACGTTTCCTTCGAGGAAACCGATGCGCGCCGCCTGCCCTATGGCGACGGGTCCTTTGATGTGGTTGCGAGTCGGATAGCTATGCACCATTTCGTAGAACCTGCCCTGGTCCTCCAGGAAAAGATCAGAGTGTGCCGTTCCGGTGGTCAGGTTGTTATTATTGACATAACTACTCGCGAGGATACGTCGGTAGCTGCGACGCATAACCGGCTGGAACGGCTGAGGGATCCGTCCCACACTGAGGCTTTGACGGCGGGTGGTCTCCAGGAACTAGCAGAGCGGGGCGGTCTCGAAATCTTCAAGGTCAGCACTTTCGAAGTCAGGCGAGACCTGGATAGCTGGATGGAATTGACGGCAACGCCTCTTGAAGCGCGGGCAACGATTATCGGGGAACTGGAGCGGCAACTCGCCGGTGGCCCGGACACAGGGATGTTCCCTGCCATGGAGGACGGCGTCCTGACCTTCTGCCATCGCTGGGTCATGCTGGTCTGCCGCAAGCCGTAAGCTCGATATCAAGCGGGTTGGGAGCTATGGCCAGGACAGATTGACCACCATTGGAATACTAAGTACCGATGAACCGAACACACTAACCAGAAATAGAGGAGATTAAACATGACAACCTTTGTATACGTGGCAGCCCAGGATGATGACAAGGTTTCAATCTTTACCATGGACGAAAACTCCGGCGCCCTGTCACTCCATTCGGAGGTGCCGATGGCAGGTGGGCCTTCCGCATCGGCGATCAGTGCAGACAAGCAGACCATGTACGTCGGGCACAGGACGTCGGGCAGGATAACCAGCCACCGGATTGACCAGGCCACTGGGGGGCTAACCGAGACGGGCGGGGTGGACACCCAGGACTCACCTACTTACCTGGTTCAAGACCGCACCGGCCGGTACCTGCTGGCCTCCTACTACCAGGGGGAGCGGGTTGCGGTGTATCCCCTGGGGGACGATGGCAGCGTTGGAGGCGAGGCGACTTCCTCCCTGCACACCGATGCCGGCGCCCACTCCATAATGACGGATCACTCCAACCGGTTCGCCTTCGTTCCCCATATTGCGTATCAACAGGACAACGCGCTGGAGCCTCCCAAGAACATACCCGGGCCCAATGTCATCTACCAGCTGCGTTTTGACGAGGCCACCGGAGTCCTGTCCGGCAACGATCCGTTGACCTTGGTGATGGAGCCCTTGATGGGGCCGCGCCATCTCGTCATGCATCCCAGCCTGGACATCGTTTACTTCTCCAACGAACAGGGGTGCAGCGTTTCTTCCTATCGCATTGACCAGGATAAGGGGACTTTGAGCCCGTTGCAGACCGTGTCCACCTTGCCGGAAGGAGTCACCATTCGCAACACCTGCTCGCAGATTCAGTTCTCGCCGGACGGAAGCTTGCTGTTTGTGCCGAACCGGGGGCATAACAGCATCGCTTCTTTCGCGGTTAACGGAGACGGTATGCTGACTCCTGCGGCACATGCTGACACGGAGGCCGTGCCCAGCGCCTTCAGCCTGGATCCGTCGGGGAAGTTCGTCTTTGCCGCGGGTTCGGCTACCAACCGACTGGCGGCCTACAGCATTGACGGACAGTCTGGGGCGATGACTGCCCTGGGGGTCTATGATGTGGGGGCGCGGCCGATGTCGGTGCTGACGGCCACTCTGGGGTAGAGGCTGGCTGGGCAGCCCGAGGTTCTTGCCTTAGCGGGAAGGACGGATTAGATGTAGTGTAGAGACTCAATAGATCGGCCGCCGGATTATCCGGCGGCCGATTGCTTTGCATTGAGCTATGCGGGGGACTAATCGTCGGCGGGTACGGGAGTGGCGGCTTCTTCTTCAACCGCGTCGTTGATGAACTCGCCTGTTTTGGGGTCGCGCTCGAAGGGGCTGTACAGTTCCAGTTCCTTGGCCATCTCGCGGACGGCGGGTATGACCTCCTGGCCCATGAGGCGCAGGCTGCGCATCTGGTCGTCGTGGGACATGGCGCCGTCGCCGTCCCAGAAGAAGACGCTGCCAGGGCGGAGGTACTCCAGGACGTGGCGGATCTTGGGCAGTATCGTCTTGGGGGTGCCGGAGATAATACTGTAATCGGCGGCCTGGTCCTCGTAAGGGCGGCGGTTGGTGCCGAAGCGGCCCGCGGGGCCAAAGGCGGTGGCGGACAGGCGACGGGAAGTGCGGGAGGTATGTCCCGGCAGGTTCATGATGGCCGGATTGACCTGGCCCTCGTTGCCGGACAGGAAGGGGTTGCTGACGCCGGACAGGTACTTGCGGCCCACCTCTTCAGCCTTCTCCTCGGTTTCGTCCACGTGGACCTTCCACAGGTAGGCTACGTTCTGAGTATCCGACTTGTGGCCGAACTCGGCGGCGGTGTCGTGGTAAAGCTGGAAAGCCTCCTTGGTAGGTTCCAGCCTGGTGGCCAGCAGCACCAGCGGGTAGCCCTTCTCGGCAGTCCACTTCACCGTCTCAACGCTGACGGTAGACGGAATCCAGATGGGCGGATGGGGCTTTTGCAGAGGCCGCGCCCAAGGGTTGACGTATCGATAATGGTAGTGCTTGCCCTCCCAGCGCCAAGGGCCGGGGGTGGTCCAGGCCTTAATCAGGAAGTCATGAGCCTCCTCGAACCGTTCACGGTTGAAGTGGGGCGGAGAGTTGTGGGAGTAGCTTTCCCGTCCGCCGCCGCGAACAAAGCCGGACACCAGGCGGCCGTGGGAAATCATGTCGATCATGGCCAACTGTTCGGCCAGCCACAGGGGGTCGTCCCAGATGGGCAGGACATTGCCCAGGATGATTATCTTGGCCTTGTTGGTGATGCGGGCCAGGATGGAGGCGCCGACGTTGGTAACGCCCTGCATACAGAAGGGAGTGCTGTGGTGCTCGTTGAGCATCAGGGCATCGAAGCCCATCTCCTCGGCATACACCTTCTCGTCCAGATAGCGGTTGTACAGGCTTGCGCCCACACTGGGGTTGTAGTACTCGTTGCTGATGCTAAGGTCGGTGGACTGGGTGCCCATCAACCCGGATGTGTCGTCCTGCCAGGGCTGTTCGGTAAAGTGGCCAATAAGCATATCAACACCTCAAGGGATGGTAGGTTTGCTTGCTATGTATCGCGCCAATAGAGAGGTAAAGTTGGTGCGAGTTTAGCATTGGGGGGAAATGTTGGCAAGGTTGAGATAGCCCCGAGGATAAAGGCGACCTGGGAGACAGGCTATGCAGGATGTCGTAGGCCCGCTAAGAAATGGGAGATGGTTTTCGTGCCGGAGCAGGGGTATCCCAGCGGAGCATTTCCCGCAGGCGGGGAAAGGGGATGTGGGGAAGCAGCCTGGACATGATGCCCAGGCTGTCGGGGATGTCACCTTCATTGCGGCAGCGCTCCAGGTAGAGGTGGAGGGCCATGAAGGTATTGAGGCGGTGGACGGCCGTTTCTTTGGCATACTTGCGTTGCAGCGCTTCGATACGGTTCCTGATCTGGCTCAATTTGAGGCTGTACCTCCCCGGTATCAGTGTGTGCTGTCGGACAAGCTGATGATGAGCGGGTCGCTGGCGGCGGAACTTTTTTTATTTTTCTTGCCATTTCCGCTCATTTTCCGCCACTTTCTCCTTTGCGGATGGAATTGCGACGACCTCAGGTTGCTGACGGGGGCGGTCGTCATGCGACGGGTCGGGACGAGCGGGTTGGTGGTGGCACTTTTTTGTTTTCCCACCATTTCCGCTCATTTCCCGCCATTTCCCTCTTTGCCGCTGGCGATGGGACGATCTCACGTTGTTGACGGGGACATTCGCCAGTTGACGAGGTCAGGATGGGTTGGTTGTTGTTGGGACCTTCTTGTTTTTCCCGCTATTCCCCATCTTCCAGACGCCTCCCTGTGGCGAGACAGGAGCGGGAGGCTGGAAAGGGCTGTAGGTATTATGGTAGGAGAGGGTTACGCGGGTTGTATATGGGCGGGTGTCAGTGGGTGGGGGGTAGGGCTGAACACGAACATATAAGAATGTTCAAGAATGATTGCCTTTGTGCGATTATCCTGGCCAAACCCAATAGGACATACTCTCTGTGGCAAGCGAGGCATTCCGGATTGGGGGCGAATCTCTCTGCTGCAAAACGAATACCAAGAATAAACAAACAAGCTAGCTATGAATAGCTGTTCATTGCAGTGTCGTTCCGATACTTTTGTCCTGAACAGAGTTTACGGAGACGTTAGCTGGGAAACTGTTCTGACTATTGAATCAGTCGAGGTCATTGGAGCCTCAAGGATTTTTAGCATGCGTGCACGGTGGATGCGATTCCCGTGCCAAATTAAGTGTCTTCCGGTTGGATGCGAATATACTATCCCCTCAGAAACCAACAGCTCGAGTACTCGATTTACATATGGCCGTAAGGGTTCATCTATGCCTCGGTAAAGGGCTGATTCTACCCGGCCGCTTCCTCTTTGCAAGAAGAGCTTCCTCAATATGATTAAGAACATTTTCAAGGAATTCGGTAATTCTGATCCAAGGATGGCGTTGTTAGTATGACGATCATCGAACTCTTGTACTTCACATCCAGTGAAAACGGAGGGCAGCGCTCGAATACTTGCTATTCCTTCAATTTTTATTATCTGGCAATTGTTATACGTGATGTCAGAGGCTGTGCCATCGAAGCGAACTCTGTTTATCATGCAGCTTTCTAGGGTAAGTCCCCTGATGGGGTGTTCCTCCATATCTATCTCGTCCACAATTGCTCGATTTATAGTTAATCCTTCCAGCTGGATTGGTCGGGACTCAGGGCAACTCGCACCCGCAAGCATAGTGTCAAGGGCTAAAGTAGGCTCGCCCCATCTGTGTAAAGCTTCCCTAGCAGCAACTGTAAACTGACCAGACGTGACTCCTCTATTTGATGCCAGATGACCTGCTACTGAACAGCCAAACGCTTTCAAGGGGTGCTGCAACAAGCTAACGCCTGGAGATTCATACGGGTTGATCGCGTAGCGGACAACCGCGCCTGCACTAAGTGCCTCCATCATCTCATCATCTACAAAAGAGCGAGCACCTACTTCCTGATCCCTTGCCGTCAACCCTGGGAGCCTTTGCAAGAGGGTGGTTGCTGCCTCCGAAGGTTCATATCCAGTTATTGTCTTATCCCGAATCCCCGATGGAGGCGTGAAGCCAGGCAAGTTGGATGAGGGAGTCCTACAGGGAGAGTAGACCGATGTGACACGCATAGGGTTTTTTCAGTAGCCGCACCGGGCTTCGAGAGCGGTCTAATGTAGGCTGCTGGGAATCCGCGTGATAGTGAATTGACCAGCCGGATGCACTCGCGGCGCGGGCGGACGCGAGTTTGGCAGCGTTGGGTCGGTTTCGATATCGCCGTCGGACCGGGAGCGGCAGGGCGCGCAATCGGGCCAGGCGCGTTGCTGAAACTGGTTTTCCCAGGCCAGCCCGGAAGATTCAAGTGAGTCTGGCGCGCCGAGCGGTAAGCCTTCCGGCATGAGAAGAAGCGTCGCCGCAGGGTCTTGGTGGTCACCAGTTGCTACGCCCAGACCGAGGCGCGCTGCCCACCGGCCAGATTATGGCGCCAGCAACCTGTACGGCCAGCCAGGCGCCGTGGCTGCAGAAGCGTCTCGAGGGAGATGGTTGAGCCCACGCCGTAGCTTCAGGTCCCGGATGGCATTCTCGATCTCGGCGTGGCGGCGGTGGTCGCCTCCAGTTCCAGGGTGTCGCCGTCGCGGTCGTGATGGAAGGCGTGATAGCTGTAGCTGCTAAGCAGGGAGGGCAACTGGTAACCGGCGTGGCTCATCACCCGCCGGACGATGAGCCTGGGGCCACCGGCGCAGCATCGGCTCGCTACGAAAGGTGTGTATCAGCCTCGGCCACGTCGGTGCGGCGCCGTCGCATCCAATAGGGGATGGGCTCACCCCGCATCCTCGGGATGGCCTCGGATAGCTTGCGCAACTGGGCGTGCTGCGCACGGTGATGGAGAGGTCGACGCTTCATCTTGCGCAGAGGGCGACGATGGAATGGTGTAGAAGCCGCTGTCGGCCGCACCGTGAGTTTGCCCTCCTGGCGGCATAACGTCACCCGGTCCCCGCGTCTCCCGCAGGAATGTGGGCGGCGCCCTCGAGTCGGTGTTCGACCGGCCCTCCGCAGACGGCAGCTCATGCGCGTCGCCGTTCCGGCGGCCACGGCCACACGGGTGATAGCCCCGCTGGCCGTGTCGCATGGTGTCGCTCCCCTCCTTGTGCAAGCCCGTAGTCTCGCAGATGTGGAGTCCGGTCTATGGTC